CCGCGTTGGTTTGGCAGCACTTCGCGATGCTCAAGCCCCCCGCGGGGGAGGAAAGCCCCGGCGCGCTCCCCAATATCCACACGGGGAATATCGGGCTGCATGTCTTTTTGCTGACGTTCTTCGCCTTCGTGACGTTGACGAATGAAATTCATAAATGGTCCCACCAGGTCCGGCCGCACCGAATCGTGCGAAAGCTGGCAAGCTGGGGGATCATCCTATCCCCCAAAATGCATCGAAAACATCACGTCGATCCGTTTGACTGCAGTTATTGCATTACAACAGGATGGATGAACCCGGTTCTGGATCGCGTGAACTTCTGGCGGCATTTGGAGATGCTGGTGATTAAGGCTACGGGTGCGGTCCCCCGCGCGAACGATCAAGCCCTCATGGGATTGTAATATTTTTAAAGGACAAGGAAAGGGAAGAAAAATAAGTCATTTCGATTGGGTATGTAGTCGGACGATAGGCTAAAATCTGCGAGTCCGGGAATTTTTACTGGATCGCATTCGCCAAAATTCAAGTATAAGATTTTAGGCACATATGTATAGATATAGATATATATATAACACTCTATCTTTTTGACACATATATTCTCCCTCAATAAATTCAGTAAGGTGTATTATGCGGGAAAAATATACTCTATATAAGCATACAACTCTAATAATATGAATTTTAGGAAAGTAAACGATAATTAGCGGAGCATCATATTTTAAGAGGTTTGAAGGAAATATGTGGTAAATTGCATCATTATTGCTTAGGTGATTAATTGTTTTCATTTGCACGATAGGTATCTTTATTTCCTCTTCTATATATGAACAACTTATGATTCCGTTATAGTTGTCCAAATGATTTACCATTTTTTATTGTTTGTCTACGAATTTTTTTTATATAATTTATGGAGCGCATACATGATTTTGATAGTGAAGGGGGCTACATTTTGACCGCACAAAGAGAACAGTTTCATTAATAGTGATCGCTGTCCTCTCAAGTGCTTAAAGCGCTCTTTTACCTAAAATAAACCATCCTGAAAGCAAAACTGTATTAATTTTTTTTAGTGGGGGAAGGGAGGATGGTAACAAAAATTATTATATATTTATCAACGAATGTGCACCTTTTCTATAAAGGTGTGGCGTCTAAACCCACAGGAGGAGAATAATAATAAGTGTGTAACTTACTATCTTTACGTATTGTTTTTTTTGTTTTTTAGCCCTCTTCCAGTATAATTCTAAAGAAAATCTATTTTGAAAAAAAATGAATGCGATGCAATTGCTGTGTTTGTGTAATATCTTCCCCAAGCGAACTCCTTTTCTCCACTCGCAAATAAAGATTGGGATAAATAGCGTACAGATCGTTATAAAGGACAAAATCTAACAGAGGGAATACTAAGGCTTTTCTGAACAAAGAGGAAAAAGTGCGGTGCATGAAGCTTGAAGGCTTTGAACAATAAACCTTTTTTCTCTCTCTCTCCCTACACGTTATTATTGACATGGCGCAGGATTTAGCGCTCGTGCCGGAGGTTGTGCTCTCCATCGAGAAGCCCGTGTTGACGCCCGCGCAGGAGCAGGAGAAATGGCTCCAAGAGGGCCTCCACGCGGTCGCCACGAAGGCGAAACTCCTCCGGGGCTGCATCGACGATGCCGCGGAGCTGTACACCACCTCGACCGCGGCGGAGGGGACAGGGAAGAATCTTTTCTTTTTCACCCGCGTCATCAAGGCCGCCGCGGACATGCTGGATGAGCTCGCCACCGACCTCCTCGCCCCGCGGAATTACTACGAGCTCTACATCAAAGTCTTTGACGAGCTCGCCGTCTTGACCGAGTTTCTCGCGCACGAGCACGGCAAACGCGGCCGCGCGCTTGACAAGATCTACGAATCCGTGCAGTACACGGTGCACATTATCCCACGGTTGTACTTGCTTATTATTGCGGGCGTCGTCTCCATCGACGCCGGGGAGGAGCCGGTGCTTGAGATTTTCCGCGATCTGATCGACATGTGCAAAGGCGTCCAGCACCCCACCCGCGGTCTCTTTCTTCGCCATTTTCTCCTCACCATGACGAAAGGCAAGCTCCCGGGCGATCCGAATCGCCCTTCCCCCCGTCCTGCGAAGGCCGCCGGGGATACGTTGCGGACGGTGGAGTTTATTCTGCAGAACTTTCGCGAGATGCTCTGGCTTTGGATTCGAATGGAGACGCGGAACTACCAAAAGAGCGTGAGCGAGCGGAACATCCCGGCCCGGCGCGTGGAGCAGCGGATTTTTTGGGATCGCCAGGAGATCGGGGTCTTTGTCGGGATGAACCTCGAGCGCCTCGCGCAGCTCGACGAGATCGACGTCGGGGATTACGAAGCCGTCATCCTCCCCAGGCTGCTGTCGATTATCGTGCGCCACCAGGAGCCGTTAGCCCAGGCCTACCTTCTCGAGGTCATCGTGCTCGTCTTCCCGGACGAGTACCACCTCGCCACGCTCGGGGCTTTCATGCGGGGGATGGCCAACCTCATGCCCGGGGTGGATCTTCTTCAGGTCTTCCGGCCATTGATGGATCGCCTTGGCCGCTACGTTCGCGCCCGCCAGGAGGACGCCGCGGCCGACAACGCCGCGGCCACGGACCTTTTCGCGGTCTTTTTGGACGAGTTCGAGCAGATGCCGATCGCCTACCACGCGCGGCCCCCCACGACGGTGGAGATTAAATTCTCGGAGGTGCTGCCCGCCCGCAGCGCCGTCCCGATCGCGAGCTACGTCGGCTGCATGGCGGGCCTTGTCCGGCTGAGCCGCCGGATCGCCCCGGCGGCGGCCGCCTCGGATCGCGAAATCGCCGTCGTCCTGCGCTGCCTTTCGGAGAAGTTCGGCGTCTGCGCGGAGACCCGCGGGGGACCCCCCCCCGCGAGGCCGTCGAGGCCGCCGAGGCG